GCAGAGACAGGCACTCCCACGGGTATGAGTTGTCAGCAACAGAGAGGACATTGTTCCCACATGCTGTCCCTTGCGGGCTAAGTCCTCTGTCTAGCTGGGGACATGACACAGTTCCTGGAATATTGCCCAGAGGAGCTGAGTGGAGCCGCCAGCCAGCTTGCCCCAGGGACCCCCAGTGCCTACACACTGGGCGGTGGTGCTTGGAGAAGCTGCGGGACTGTCCTTCACTGCCCCCACGAGGCCCAGCCCTGCTGTCTCTTGGTGCTTGCTATTTCTGAGATCACAACTCTAGGGAGTCAGAAACTTTGGGCCAGGAGAGCAGAGGGCAGTGCTCACAAGGCACCTTGGAGCCCTGGCTGAGTAGGGCTTGGGTTTAGAGGACAGGCAGGGGTTGGTGAAGAGGGACAGACACAGTTGAAGCATTATTTCTGCATTATTCCAAATGTGGTGTACAGCTGGCATTGGCTGTGCAACTTGGCCTTTTAAAAAGTGGCTTGTGCCCAAATCAATACCAAGTGAAGTGGGCTCTTCTGTTACATTTTTGGAGAATGGTGGCTGAGAAAGTGGGTACAGCGCTGGCTGTGGTCGAGCAGCATGGCAGCACTGATTTGAACCCACATTTGTCCTAGGGAGGTGGAAAAAAGAGCACTATGGGAGTAGGGGAGGGTCCTTGAGGGTTCCCAGCAGCAGCCCCTCAGCCTCCAGTCAGGCTTGGCACCAGGAGCTCTGCCCAAGCTGTCAGTCCAAGCCCCCAGCTCCCCCACCCCACCACCCTGGCCCATCTCCTGGCAGCCGCTGCAGGGAAAAGAGGCTGGCCCCTTTTGCCTTAATTAGTTCTTCCATTTATGACATAGATATATCTTCCTATGGGGTATTTCATTTAGCAAAAAGCTTTTCAGTTACCACCCTGACCCCCTTAAAGACTATTTATTGCAGTTCATCTGTCCTCTCTCTTTGCTTAACTCTCTTTGTCCCTGTCTCACTCACGTATCTCCCCAAAGTCACTGTTCCAGATCTGGCACTCCTAGAGGTCTCTGCCTCTCCATCTCACTATCCCTGCCTCCCTGCCCCCACCTCATGTCAGTCCCCATCTATCACCTGCTTCTGAATGGTCTGTCCCATAAGCCTGACTCAGAAACACCCTTGACCATTGTGCTTCTCAGTGAGATTGAATTGGAGCTCCAGACACAGTAGTCATCTCTCTCTTCTACTTTTGGTCACAGGCAGGTGACTGTCAGGCTGGCTTTGCATCTATGAATTTCTTTTTGTGCTTTTGAATACCAGGGAGATTCAGCTTGCTGTGAAGACACTTGAAGCCATGTCCCTGTCCAGTAGCTGAGAACAAAGGACCATGGGGTGGCCATCCATGGTGAGAGGGTGCAGGAAGGCTTAATCACCTTGACCAGCCATTTGAACATAGTTCTTGGCCCCAGGAGAGGAGAGAATGTGGCACTTCTTCAAAGGCTCATAGTATCTGTGTTTTTGCAAAACAGACAGCTGGTATGGGTGGCGAGGGCTGTTAGGCATGCTGGCACCTTCCTTCCATGCCAGGAGGATTTGTTCTGGGTTCCTTAGGATGTACTACAGAGGATGCTGGCTCTGTGTGGCTCACCCTCCCCCTTGTTCCCTACACCATTTTAGTGCTAGTCAGTACATTTTGGTCTAATCACTAAGTGTCTTCTCTAAGTCACTAATGGGAAAGCCCCCAGTAGAGAGGCTGGGGCCACTGTGCCTGGCTCCCCAGCCAAAGTTCCCAGTCCCACCATCCAGCTTGGATCTGAACTTGCAGCTAGCTCACAGTTTCTATCTCACAGCTTGCAGCTCCTAATCCTCCTGCTAGAGGCTCCTGCCTGCAGAATTCCTTCCTCTGAACTTCCAGATGTCCCCTGTCATTATCTTCTCTATGCACCTCTGAGATAGCTGGCTCCCTGCACCATCTGCCTGGCAGGTATCCCTAGCTCGCTTTCTGCCCTGAACCCTGGACCCACCACCACTACATTCCCAATATAACAGCATCTCATCAAGCGAGAGCTCACTTCTCTTGGACACTTTGTGGAAAGTGCAGAGCCCCCCCCACCAGCCGAGTCTGGGTACAGCCTGGGCCATGGCCCTTCCTTTCCTCCTCCTTGTATCCACACATCTGGCCCAACTCTGAGCATCTCACGTTCCAGGGGTACCTTTGAAAAAGACTGCCCCCAAACAGTCAGAACAGCTTTATTGATTTATAAATGTTACAGATCGCAGAATCTGTTTATTTTGAGTTTGCAGGTTAAGAGCTTTCGTAAATTTGGCAAGCTGTGTGCCCATTGCCTCCACCCAGTGTGGGGCACTCCACCACCCCAGGAAGATTCCCCATACCACTTCCAGCCTGACAAATGCGTATCTTCCCTCTGTGTCTGTGGTTCTTCCTTTTCTGGACATTTCCACATAGATCAGGCCACATAGTCTGTGGCCTCAGTGACTGGCGCCTCACCCAGCAATGTAGTGGCCACTCACTGTCTTTATTCAGTTCCTCCAGGATTTCTTCCTGCCCCAGGCAGACGCTCCACCTGACTTTCTCGGGCCTTTGGCCACCCTGGAGTTGTAATTTTCCTCACAGTACCTGAGGAGCTGCCTGCTCAGTGTCTATCTCCCTTGGCTCCGGTGTGTTTTGCTAGTGCAGCCACAGCTGAGACAGAGAGAGGACAAAAGTATGGCTGGAGGGACTGGGCTCACGTAAGTCTCACTTTGTCAGTCAAGAAAGGACATTTGAGTTGAGCCCAGAACTTGTGTACCCAGAACTTCCTAAGCTCAGCCAAACACGAAATCTGGTGTTAAAGCCGCAAAGGTGGCCACATGCTGTGGTGCAGTCAGTATGTGTGGCTGAGGGAGGCAGGCATTGGGTGGACTAAGACAGGGCATAGTGGTTTGGGTGGCCAGGTGAGTTCTGTTCAGAGCACGTGACTTCACTAAATTCATACACATGGCCTTGGCTGCTGTGACTGACTGGAGGAAGGCTGGAAGAAGCAGCAGCAGGTTGGAGACTCCCAGGAGGGAGAAGAAATAGAGATGGGAGCCAGGGACAGAGCTGGCAGGGAAAGGAGTTGACTATACAGGCTCCAGGATGACAGGGTCAAGGCCAGGACTGACAAAATCAGAGCCACGGACTCTTACCAGCGAGTCCTAGGTGGAAGGGAGGAGTGCACAGGGCCCTTAACAGTGACTGTACTGCTTCATCAGTTTGAAATAGAATGTGTGTCGTGGCAATTCTGAGAACAGGGGCAAAAGCCCGTTTTCTTTTTTTTTTCCTCATTTATATATGTGTAGGATACATGTGTGTATATGTATGCTTGCATGTGTGTGTGAGTTGGTGTGTATGTGCTTGTGGAGGCTGGAGGCTGATGTAGGTTGACGTAGGAATCATTCTTGATTACTTCCCTCCCACCTTGTTAGTTGAGGCAGGGTCACAGTCAAATTCAGAGTTCACCTATGATATGGCTAGGCTTGATAGGCAGCTTGCTCAGGGGATCCTTTCTGGGGGTAGGATTACAGGGCTCTCGGGATCTGAACTCTGATCCTCACACTAGCATGACAAGTGCTTTAACTGCTGATCGTTTCCTCAGCCTCCATCTTCTTTCTTTAAGAACATCTCATCATAATTCATAGACCTGCACGGGTTCATGGGTATTCACAGGTGGGGTTCATAGACCTGCACGGTTCGTGGGTATTCACAGGTGGGGTTCATAGACCTGCACGGTTCGTGGGTATTCACAGGTGGGGTTCATAGACCTGCACGGTTCGTGGGTATTCACAGGTGGGGTTCATAGACCTGCACGGTTCATGGGTATTCACAGGTGGGGTTCATAGACCTGCACGGTTCATGGGTATTCACAGGTGGGGGGGCCCTCAGTAGTCATGTTTTCTCAATCCTGAGGAATCCATTCACCGGCTAGCTGTCTGTTCTCTCATGAATCTCTCTGTAGCTTCTCCTGTTCTGCACATGCAGGGTAAATGGACTCACAGGATGGATGGACTGAGAGGTGGAGATTAGCTCTTTAGGGTCCCATATCTCCTATTGGAGACATGTCTGTCCCCTCACATCTATATACATACCAACACTCACAAATCCCCTAGGGCTTTTGTTTGTTTCTTGTTTTTAATTTTTTTCCAGACAAGATCTTTCTAGGTAGATCAGCTTGGCCTTGCACTTCTGACAACTCCCCTGCCTCAGCCTCATCAGTGCTGGGACTAGAGGAGTAAGCCACCACGCTGACTGACTTCTGAAACATCACAAGATAGACTCCCTGACCAACTCAGACCTGCAGAACTCCTGTGTCCAAGTTTCAACTCTCCTGAGGGCTGCACTTCACTTGACACATCTTTCTCAGAATAGATTTTCCTTATACAGTTTGAAACAAATTTATCTATCTAATCAATTAATTCTATTTATTTATCTATGTGCTTATTTTTGTCAGAGAACAACTTGTAGGAGTTAGTTCTCTCTTCTACCATGTAGGTTACTGAGGTTGAACTCAGGGCATCGGGCTTAGTGACCTCAATGCTCTTACTGGCCCAGCATGGACTCTATTTTCTACTTGTGCAGTGCTCGCTCACCCCAAAGAGGTTTATTTGGGGCTAAAGACTTGACAAGAGATTGCTTGCATGTGAGTTTGATTGGACACATTTTCTGCTCTGAAAGAAAAGCCACCCAACAGGACTGACGTGATGCTTCATCCTCACTGCCAATTTGACTGGATTTGGAATCACCTGGGAGACACACTTCTGGATGTTTGCAAGGGAATTTCCAGAGAGGCATCCAAGTAGCAGCATGCCATAGGCTGAGATCCTGGACTAAATAGAAGGAGGAAAGTGAACTGAGCACCAGTGTTCATCTCCCTCTGCTTTCTAACTGTGGATGCAATGTGACACTCCTGTGCCATGACTTCCCCACCAGGATGGAATGTGAGCCAGATAAACCCTCCCTTCCTTAAGTTGCTTTTATTTCAACAATGAAGAAAGTCACAAAACAACTGGCTAGTAGATGACGCTGATGATGGTCCCCATTTAGAGACTTGGAGTTCAAGGACAGTGGCCATGGCTGATGCCCAACCATCCAGGCAGGTTCAGGAGGTTGAGGATACCTGAGGGCTTCAGAAGAATTTTTATTTCTCATGTAAAGAAAATGTCGAGAATAATAAATGTCACAGGCTCCATTATAAAGATCTGTGACCACAGGTAATATTCACTCTTGACTTTTTAGTGATAGGATTAAACTTTACTGATACAGTCTTTGTTGTCCTCATTCCAGCCCCCTCCACTTGGGGACAAAGCAAACACTGTCATGAATTCCGAGTCAAATTCATATTCTCAGAGTCAAATTCATATTCATTCTCTCTCTGTCTCCCTCTCCACCTCCCTCTCTCCTGTTTTCACTCTTGCTCTCTTAGCAGTTTTGATATGTAGCCCAGGCTGGCCATAAACTCATGATCCTCTTCCTCCTCCCCAAAGTGCTGAGATCACCATGTGCATCCCCTTACCCATCCATCTACCCACGTACCTATCCACCCACCAACTCAGTCATCCACCCCTTATTTGCCCACCCATCCATTCTTCTACCCACTCACCCATCCTCCCATTCTTGCAAACATCCAAGTGTCGGTCTATGCATCTATCCTTTTGCAGTATAGAAACTTGTGCTTCAGGTTTCGTTTCTCCTTAGAGTGACCACCCAGTGTGCTTTGTAGTGGATAGCTGGATCTCTGTTGAGAGAGAAGGCACGGAGTCTGGTTTTCTTTGTGGCTTCATTATCTCATCACTAAAGCCAAAGGAAGCCCCCATCCCCATCGGCTCTGCAATGCTACCAGGATAACGTTCCCCTGTGCTTTAGCCGAGCAGTTCCACTTCATAGCTCTCATTGGGAATCTGGAGTATCATAAGTTGCTTGAATGAGCAGAGACCCTGGGGCCCCACCATGCAGGGAACCCAGGAAACGACCTTGATCTTGCTGCCACTATTCCTTTTTCACGACTCGATTGCCACAGGTGGAGAGGGACCCGATTTTCATATCTAACATTTTCAAACAACTAAAACTGGCTGAGCCACGTTTCTTCTCTGTGTTGTCTGGATCCTGCACTGCACCTTCTTTTGCTGGATGCCAGGTTAGAGTTTTATATGCAAGGCCAGGTGACCTAGCTTGCAGGGGTCTCAGAGCCCAGACATAATCAGTTAAGCTTTTCTGCTTACGTTCATGGCTAATTCCCACTTAATTCTCCTTGAGAAAATAACTTCTGGGAATGGAATCTTTGTCCTGGTATTACCTAAATTCTGTACAAAAAGCCAGTGAATCCACATGGGGGTGGAATGCTGAGGCTCAGAGACCAGGTTAAGCAAAGAGCATGTATCACCTTCTCTGCTGCTGTCCCATGATGAGCCACCAGAAAGGTGATCAGTCATCCATGTGAAAGCTGAGGGCAGCGCTGTCTTCTAAGGCCTATGCTGTGAGTGTGTTTGTGTGGGAGGGGGCACAGTCAAGCTGAAATGGCCACTCCATTAGGGGGAATAAGAGAGAGAGAATATCCAGAGGCACCTGGAAGAGGAGTCCAGCACAGAGAGAAAAGAGAGCAAACTGGACATGGCCAGGGCTAGGGAGGCAGGAGAGAATAGTGGAGACAGCAAGAGATAGGGGATAGCAAGGATGCAAGAGAATACGGGGAAATAGAGCCGTAGAGATATCAGGAAGGCTGGGAGATAGCAAGAGAGAGAATAGCAAGAATAGCTGGGTTATAAAGAGGATGGGTAGCGGCAGGGAGGAAAGCCTATGAGCTGGAGGGAGTTTAGGGTAGAGGGGGAGGTGAGAAGGGCTAATGTGGGGCTTTGAAATGTGTAGCATTTCAAAGTACTTGTGAGTGGGGACTGAGGAGTTTGGCAGCCAGCGTGAGCTTTGATATGCTAGCACAAGTGCATGTCAATGAGGAGCCATGTCCTTCCTCCTAGGGGTGGGGTGCGGGGACAGAAAACACATTTCACAAGTTCTCCAGGTATGCTGGCTTTTATCTAACTTCAAGAAATCCTTCTATAGTCCAGTTTGAGCTCATTTCCGGATATATGGAGGGGCTGAGACCTAACAGTCTTATCAGAAATTTGGGGTTGTCACCTATGACTGGGGAAGTTGGGGGTCCCCTCAGGGCCCTTAGTGATGTTAATAAAAGAGTTTAAGAACAGACACAGAAAAAAAGCTGGAGGTCCATCTTACTCGTATTTAAAAGAAAAATCCTGAGGCAGGCAAGCTGTAAATCTAAGTGCTTACTCAGTGGATGGAGATAGAGAAGACTGTGCTGTTTGTAAACAGACTCGTGGAGGAAGAGCAGCTATGTGGTGGCAAGGACAGCATCAGAAAAAGAGTAAAAAGGCCCAAGATGCTGAAGAAAGCTTCCTGAGACTCTGACCAGAGTCCAAAAGGAAGAGATAGAGGGAAGAAAAAGGAAAGTTAAACGTTTCTGAGGCAGAGCTTGGGTGAGCAGACCTAATGGAACCTAGGAACTGCACAGGTATTCTGGGAGGGAAAATACGTTATCTCATTAAAGGGACAATTACTCCTCCCATATCCTTATCTTGGCAAATGATTTTTCCTGAGAGGTGTTCCCTTGGTCAGGTGACTGGCTGGTTCTACTGGATTAACCGTTAGAGGAAGAAAAAATGTGTATCTCTACCCGGAGGTGGGTATTCCATATTTATGACCAGAAGGAAACAGCTTCCCCTTGATGGGCCCCCAGTGTCACTCCAAGAGTTGGATTTTCAGGATCCTCTCATCTGGTCTCTGGCGTTGCTTCCCAGCTTGGTTGTTCCCACTTTGTCTCTGAAACTCCCTCCCCTCCTCCCCACCACCATCTCCAGCCTCTTCCACCCCTTCCTCCCTGTCTTCCTCCACTGGCCACCTGGCCTGCCTCTCTCCTCCAGATGAGCCTTGATTAATCAATCCCCTCCTTCACTCTGTGCCACTGGGATGGATTGCAGCTCACGGGAAAGCCTCAGGGTAACCCCTGCTCCGGGAGTTCCAGCTCCTGGCAACTGTGTGGCTCTGGAGCGTCCCACCTCTGAAGCAGGGGTGTTGATTAGGGTGGTAACTGCTTTGTCATGCACCTGACTCTCCCTCTCACTCAGGGCAGTCTCTCCACTTCAGCTCATTGCTTTTACACTGTGGCCAGAGTCTGTCTACTTTTTGACATCTTTCCCTGAGAGAGTGGCTAAGGAGGAAAATTAACTCATCTTCAAGGAGCACACGAGCCCTGGTGGGTCTGAGCAGCGCTTCTCCGTTCACTCTCGCCTTGACTTTAGGAGAGGCTTCGCCACAGCATCAGATGGCTGCAGTTAAGCTCCTACAGTTGGAAATGTTCTAATTGGAAAAGGGAATCCACAGCCACGGCCTCCTTCATCAAACTGTCAGAAGCATAAGCCTGGCCCTTGGAAATCAGCGTAGTGGTTTTAGCCTGCCTTTCTAGGTCAAGGTCAACAGTTCCCTTTAAAGTCCTTGCGTTAAGCTGCAGGTGTTGGCCCCAGTCATGCTCGGGCACCGACTGCCACAAGTCTCAGCATGACTGATGGGCCTTTGCTCAAGACAAAAACAATTTCATTTGGACAGCTGCATTTGTGAGCCGTCACAGCATGGCTTGACCTTGGATTGCTGTTTTTCAGAGGTGCAGATAATACAGATTGCAGACAGCCAGCCATCCAGGGCAAAATCTCCCTCAGTGCACCTTGCCTCAGCTTCCACCAAGCCAGTGTTCAGCATGGGTCATCCAAATGCATTGCAAGAGCTGAGGAAATGGCTGTTGATAAAATGCTTGCCTTACAAGTACGGGGATCTGAGTTCAATCCCATCATCCACATTAAAAAGCCAGGCATAGTGTTACACTCTTGTAATCCAGCTCTTGGGCAGCAGTAAGAAGTATATACATGGGGCTCACTGGCCAGTCAGCATTGCCTATCAGTGAGTTTCTAGCTGGTAAGAGGAATGGGCCTTGTACCAGCACATGCACACATGTGTGCCTGAACACATATGAATACACACACACACACACACACACACACACACACACAGCATAATGAAGAAGTCAGTGATAATGTGGATGCTCAGTGTAGAGTGGTTTTCAGTGTGAAAATACTTGTCAGGAGTATTTTAGGAGCACACTTTAGTGCTCTACCTACACTCATGCCATGGCGTGATCTATGAGGGACCATGTTTCCAGCTCTGGTGATGGTCGTAACTACCTTAGAACCCCTTCCTTGATTGTTTGTCCTCAAGTTCTTTTGGCTTCTGCTGAGTTCCTTTGTATAAGTGGATGATTTAAGTCTCACTCAAGGAGCCAGAGTTAACAGAGATGGGGGAGGCAAGAACTTCAGAGTATGTGTGTAATTCCAGCCTAGGTTGTTTATCTTCCTGTCCAGGCTGCCCACTGTAATGAAACATATTTGTACAGTGTAGTATTTACTGCTTTCATTGCTTTGTCTAGACACTCCCTCGAGTTCACTGAAGTCTCATGGAGCAGTCCTTATACTCACTAGTCTCAGGCTCTAGATGGACATGGGCACACTAACTGGCTTCGTCCACAATGCTGCTGTGACTCAGAACACTTATCTATAGGAAACTAGGGGCAGATGTCCTTCTGCAGTGGTGGGCTTGCAGCCCCAGTATTGTGTTCCTTCACATGGGCTGGCGGTCAGTGTAGACCCACCCCTCAACCCTCACCGTGGGCATATGGCCTCTGTGGGTTATAGATGTCTGCTCTTAGTCATCCAGTCATACATGTTATAGGATAGATGTGACCTCTTCTGTTCTTATGTAGGAATCCTGACCCTGGGAACTTGGAGGGCTTTCAAGGGGGGATTAGGGTAAAATAAGGTCAATTGGGGGTGACTCTGATCCACATGACTAGGGTTCTGATAAGAAGCAGAGACCAGACACAGGATGACCCTGGGAGGCCAGGGAGAAGACTCCACCTGCAAGCCAAGGAGACAGGTCTCAGGAGCTCCCAGGATGGGGGACACTGGATGTGTGCCATGCAGGCTTGGCTCTGCTGCTGTGGGAACAAACTGATGTACACTGAGGCAGAAACACAGACGCTTGGGCTTTTCTGGTTGGACTTACCGAAGATGAAGACCCTCTGAACCTCACCCTCTGAACCTTACCCATGCAAAGTGGGTTGGCAGGCTGTGGCCAGCCAGCATGGTGCGGGAGATTTGTTTTGGTAGCCTACGAAGCCACTGCCCTGTGCTGAGTGGCTGATCCAACCTGGGTGTTTGCTCACCCTGTCTGCATGCATACTAGCTTCTTGCTGCCTATGTCTGAATATTTCAGTTTCTGGCTCACTTCTTGCAGAACACTTTTGAATGCATGATCATCAAATACAAGAGCAGGTATTTGGGTGCCATCAAAGAGGTCTGGGACTTGGAGGGACGGGTTCTGGCTTTTTTAAATTACAGTACTTCATCTTGGATTTGACTTTAATAATGAACTTCATGGATGGAAGTATCTGTGTCTCATACTTGTCAGCATCGTGACCAGCCCTAGCTCACACTTGTAGCTTGTAAATTTTGGTGTGTGTATTAGTTGCTTTTCTATTGCTGTGATAAAGCATTTGACCTGACCAAAACAACTTATAGAAGAGTTTATTCATGGTTCCAGAGGGATATGAAACCATGATAGCATAGTAGAGGCATAGCAGCTGGAGCTGGAAGCTCAGAGCTCACATCTCGAATTGCAAGCAAGAAGCAGAGAGAGAGAGAGCAAACTAGTAATGGTGTGAGTCTTTTAACTCTCAAAGCCCACCCCCATGACATACTTCCTCCAGCAAGGCCATGCTTCCTAAATTGTCCAAACTGCACCGCCAACTGGGACGAAGTATTCAAATGAGGAACATCACATTCAAGCCACTACAGTGTGGTTGTCTCCCCACTCAGGAGCATTTTCATAGCTAAGTGAGATAAGGTATTGATAATCACTTCCCCGTGAAGCCATTATTATAAGTAGCAGAGCCACCTCATCCCTGATGTTGTAAAGTCCAGGCATTCCTTTTCTTTTGGTTGTATCAAGAGAATTCTCTTCGGAAATGTTTTTTGAAGAATTCTGTCAGAAATGGAATTGACTCAGGTCAATTCCAGCAGCATTTGAAAGCTTCTGTGAGGCGACAGAAAAGTCAGAGCCCCTCGGTCCTCCCTCATCCCCATTCATCTCCAAACAGCTCAGGAGGAGTTGAGAACACTGGATTAGCTGAATGCTGGGTGTTTCTGAGACAGAGAGGGAAGCAGGGCTGTGTCTTGGCAGATGGTTTTGGTGACTTGGTGAGGAAGTTCAGCCATCTGTTTGTAGAAGAGGGACATGTGGGGACTCCAGGTCTTAGGCCACAGGTAAATGCAGGGTGACAGAAGACATAAGAGGGAGGAAGGGCAGACTGGGGATTCTTATGTCCAAGAATTCATCCTAGTTCTGTTGTTGATACTGAGTGAAGCTGAGGATGGGTGGGGGACAGGGGACAGAGATGGTGTGAGTGCAGGGTGCACTGGTGTGGAAGTTCATGTTAGAGTTGGGCTACATCAGTGATGGTTGATTTATGGATGTTACAGTTTAGATGTGAAACATCCTCCACAGGTTAATTGGTTCCTAGTTAGTCATGCTGACTTAGGAGGCTGTGGGACCCCTAGGGAGCAGAACTTAGCTGGAGAAAATGTGTTACTTGGTGGGTGGGCCATGAGGTTCATAGCCTGGCTCCACCCACTTCCTGTCTTGACTCTTCTCATACACAAGGAAGCTCCTACAGCCTCAGCCATAAGCCTCTCCTGCCACCATGCCTTCATTACCATGAGGTACCAAATCCCCTTAAACTGTGACCCCCCCCCACTTCAGTTGCTTCTGTGGACTATTCTATTACAAAGGTGAAGATAGTAACTAATACTTTGGGTTACTCATTTGGGCACTGCCGTCCATCCAGTCCTGCTGTGGTGACATGGTCTGGGGACATTAGTTTCTATTAAGTATATATGACATTGCTTGATGGAATCACTAGCCCATCACTGCCAGAGCTGGGGGCTCCTCCCAAGGGTTTTTAGTTTTGAGAGTTTATGTTGAGGTAGATATCTTCATTTGGTATTTTGTTGTCCTTCTGAGGGCTCTTCTCTGTTTCTGCATCCTGAATCCCTGTGCCCAGCTCGGGGACCCAGCCTAGAGGGCTCTCCTCTGTGTTCTTGTGTTTGCCAGAGGTACCCAGCACACCACAGGCCTAGCTGGGTCCCCAGCACTAGTGTTCAGACTTCTGTTACTTCATGTTTTGAAAAAGATGTTTGCTCTTCCAAACTTTGTCCTTCTTTATAGGGACCAAACTGTGCCCTCTGGGAGTATAAATGTCCAACATTGAGCAAGTTTACTAGAAATTGGAGAATCCGAGCAGAAAATAGTGTTTCCCTGATATAGACACGCTCTGAATATCAGTCTTCTTGGGCAACATAATGATTATTGGCACTTTCTGTTTTGCTTGCTCTGTAGTTGGTGTGATTAAATATGAAGGAATATAATGTGTCAGCTCTTGATGGGAGAGTCTTGGTAACTGGGCAGACTTGATATGGGTTGAGATTAAACCCTCTCTACTCCCTAGGTATGTGTCTTTTGGGCACTTGCTTAGGTACATGAGGTTCAGCCTCCTTGTTTAGAAAATGAGAATACCATTATTAATGTAGCAAAGATAATACCCACTTATGGCTGTGGTGAATGTAGATAGAGATATCACAGTTCTGATGTGTTAGGATCCTGGATGTTAACAGGAACTGTTGTGACTGTCATCATCATTACTGTCTGTAACATGAAAAATAAAAACCCAGAGATAGATATTGGGGTTCAAGCTGATGGTCAGATAAGCAAAGCAGCCAACCTCTAGCTCTTACCTCTGCCTCAAACTGAAAGGGTGATCCTGGCTCCATGAATCCTCAGAGTGCAATGCTTTCTCCACGAGTCCTCAGAGACAATAGCTCTCCCTGTCTGGAAACTAACTCTGTGTGTCTCCTCGGTGATTCAAATCCAGTCAAGTTGACAATGAAGATTAAAGGTCAGCAGCAGGTGATTTACACATTTGTTACTTCCTGAGGCCCTTGTAACGGACACCAGGTTAGGCAGCCAAGCCAACAGATGGGCTCAGGAGTCCAAGATCAAGGTGCGAGCAGGGATTCCCCAGGATGCCCCAAGGAAGCCTCTGTCCCACTGTGCAATTCTGGGACTTTGCTACCTTCAGATTTTTTTGTCCCATAGGAACATCACCTGATAATCTTCCTGTGCACCTTCTGTGACACCCACACTTACCATCTCTACAATGTCACCCTATTGAGCCAGGCACACTCTCCTCCAGTGCAGCCTCATCTTAATTGGCCCCACCTGCAAAAACCCCATTTCTAAGTAGATCACTGTCTTCTTTCAGGGGCATAGCCTTTGACAGGTATGTTGCTTATGGCCACATGTAATTCTGGCTGCCATGTGGTTGGAGTGAAGCCCAGACTTTGAGGAATCAACACGGTGGTAGCTTAGTAAGTCTTGCCCAGCTGGTGGTGACAGACACAGGCCTTGCTGACCTCTGACCTCCTGCTCTTTCCAGAAGGATTTCCGTGTAGCAGCTCTAGTGCTTTCCAAAGCTGCTGCTTTGTTTCTCCGGCTTGGTTCTTGCCCTAGGAAGGCACACATTGGGCCTCCCTGCTCTGCCCACAAAATGCAGTGAGTACCAGTCTTTGTGCAGCTTACAATGGCAAACAAATCCTCTGGGAGGTGGCGTACAGCCCTGGGCCCCTCTAGGCACTTGCCAGTTGGCCGGCTCTTGTCAGCTGTGGGGAGGGCTGGTGAAGTGCTCTATAATGTGGTGTGAGGGAACCTGAGTTGGGACATCCCATCTGTGGACTGTAATCCAAATCCTGAAATGATTCCTGAACTGGGAGTGGTGGATTATCAGCAGCCCCAGGAGGCCATATCTCTCATCATGCTTTTGTTGTGTCAAGGTCACAGCGGGCTCTCACCTAGCCAGGATGGATGGGGGGAGGCATGTGGCTCCTCACTGGAAGGAGCAACTGGTCTCACCAGGTCTTGTAACCCAGGAAGGTCAGAGGGTCACCCTGAACTCAGTCAGTGACACCTGAGAGGGGCCAATAGGAGCATTCATTCATGTGTGGGGTGTCAGTTTCCCTGGCTGGGTATGGTTACTGGACCAGTGTTCAGGACTGGCAGCAACTGAGCCATTCTGCAACTGTGAGAACCTACTGGTTCTCAGTGACTGGATCCTAAGGCAGCAGGGCCTTCTGTACCCTGAGGCAGCGCCACACAGAATCCCGCTGCGAAGCACTACCCCAGCCTCTATCAGTCAGCCCTCAGCTCTTCCTAGCTGTCTTTGCAGTACAAAAGCACCCTGCACTCCTGCTATGGCAGAACAGAAGCCAATTTTAAGCCAACACGCATGAGAAGTCTTGGTTAGACACAGACCATGTCTGGCCTTGTCTTTCCTTGGGTTCCAAGGAGTGTCACAGAAGGCCACTGGGAAGGCAACCAAGCTGTTGCTATTTCAGTTCTCAGAGGGGGAAATGCATCTTTTTGGAGTGTGGGTGATGGATTTGGAGACCCTGCTGGTGCTGTTTAACCATGTAAGAAATTACCACTTGGAGTAATTAGTCTGACCACCCCCCCTACCCTGATCAAATAGTTTCTGGTAATTGCCACCCCTCATTCTTCAAGTAGTATATATAGGTTGGATTTTGGTTTTTCCTCTCTCTCTCTCTTTCTCTCTCTCTCTCTGTTTTTTGAGACAGGATTTCTCTATAGAACAGCCCTGGTTGTCCTGGAATTCACTTTGTAGACCAGGCTGGCCTCTAACTCCTAGAGATCCGACTGCCTCTGCTTCCTGAGTGCTGGGATTAAAGGTACCGCCCAGCTCCGCTTTCCATTTTCATGTATGTATATGTGGTGTGCATGTAAATACTTGTGTTTGCATATGTATGAGCTCATGAATGCCCAAGGTTGATGTCTAGAATCATCCTTGATTGCTCTTTCAACTTATTTACTGAGGCAGGGTCCAAGGGTCTATCAATCAAACCCAGAGCTCACCCATATGGCTAGTGTCGCTAGCCCACCTGCTCTGGTGTGTGCACTGTCTCTGACATCTGAGGCTGGAATTACAGGTGTATGCCACACCCACCTGGCATGTATATGAGTTCTAGGGATTTGAACCCCAGTCTTCACAGATTAATCACAGAGCCATCTCACCAGCTGTATAGCGTATACAGTTGTGATTTTCTGTCTGGAGATAGTGTTGGTGAGGTGAAGGCTCTCATCCCTCAGGCCTTTCATTGTGAACACATGAGACAAGATGTCCTCTGTGTCCAAGTTGCCAGAGAGCAAGTCATGCACACGTCAAGTGACACTGTCATACAGTCGGCTACTGCACCAGGGGTTCCGTGTAGGTGGACTGAGAATTGTGCACAAAACTTATTTCATCTTCATCGGATGGAGTGTGACTTTTGCACAGATGTACAGTGTGTCTGCTAGGTGTTAAAAACAAATAGGGAATCATGCAGTGTGTCCCACACATGTTCTATGGACCGCATGTGTCCTAAGACAGCTGTGAATGCCTGAAACAAAAGTGAGATTTTTTTTTTAAACCACTAACTCAACTGCAGTTCTCAAACATGAAGTTTGTAAATGACAGTGTTGTGTTCCAATACAAAATGTATTTGGGAGGATGTGTGGAATTTAAAAACATGTCATCATGAGGAACCTGAGTGTCTGTAGATTTGGAGATTCAGAGGAGGTCCTGTAACCCCCAGGATATCTTAGGGACAGCTGTACTTAGCTGAGATTTTTCAGTACATGCCCCCCCCCACAGTGCACTTGTGTGTGCTGGTGCGTATGTATGTGCCTATGATAATTTTGATGTCGATCCTAAGCTGTCTGGTCAGGGAGTCCTGGGGGTTAGCTTCTCTTTACCGCTGGGATTTTGTGTGGGTTCTCAGGTAAGCTCAGGTCCCATGCTTAGATGGCAGGCACTTGATTGACTTCCAGCCTGGCTTATTTGTCTTGCCTTCCCCAGCTGCTCTGTCCGAGAGGCAAAGGTAAACTTTATTTTGGGTCAGAGTGGACCTGAGCAAAAGGAGCAGGATTCCTTTGATCCTGTGTCCAGGTTGGTGACTCTGATAACCTTTGGCATCCCTGACCCATGACTCTGTTCTCCCCACAGAAGTGCATTCGATTTAACCCAGATGCCACCGTATGGGTGGCCAAGCAGAAGATCCTGTGCACCCTGAACCAAGGCCTGAAGGATGTACTCAACTATGGGCTCTTCCAACCTGCCAGCAACGGGCGGGATGGCAAGTTCCTGGATGAGGAACGGCTGCTGCGGGAATACCCACAGCCCGTGGGCCCGGGTGTGCCTTCCCTGGAGGTAAGTAGCCATGCGTGACTGTGTGGGGCCTGGTGCTATGCAGCCCGGGTACAACTGAGGACTCCTCCACCAGGCTCCTGTTTGTTTTAGAGTAGAAAATTACCTACCCTTTAGTTAAAGTCTGGCTCCTTTGGGCCTTATCTGTTAGGTATGTGTGTGACAGGTGCCTGATGGTCCTTCTTGATGGCTTTGGGAATGTGAGTAGCTAAAGACAAAAGTGAGAGCTGAGTTTATGGTGGCACCTGGATGTGGGAAGGGGCAGGCTACAGATCTGCTGCATTGCAGTTCAGCAGCAGACCAGGGCATCCTCCAACCTGGCACTGCTCCATCCAATTCCATTCAGAAGCTGCACAGACCGCTTAGGAGGCACAAGCTCTCCAGGCAGCCCCGGCAACCCAGTTCTTAAGGACTGACTTGTTTTCACACCAGAAAGTTCCCATCTGAGCCTTGGGTGAACCTTGCCTCCTGTGGGTTGGTCATCTTGTGTGGGGCAGAGGGAGAGCAGGACACAGTTGCCTCCTGTGGGTAGTATGGGATGTGTGGGGTGGAGTGGGGGGAGAGGGCTGGAGAGATGGCTCAGTGGTTAAGAGCAGCTGCTGCTCTTCCAAAGGACCCAAGTTTAGATTCCAGTATCCAAACACACACACACACACACACACACACACACACACACACACACACACACATTGTTTTGTGGTTTTTAGCACTTGCTGCTCTTGCAGAGGACCCAGGTTCAATTTCCAGTACTCACTTGGTAGCTCACAACCATCTTTAACTCCAGTTCCAGGAGATCTAATGCATGTGGTACACAGATATACCTGAAGTCAAACACCCTTAGACTCAAAATAATAAAATTAACAATATAGATTTTCTTACTTTTATTTTATGAACCTCAGTGTTTTACCTGCATGTATGTATATGTGTCGAATATGTGAAGAACTCACAGAAGCCAGAAGATACCACCGGATTCCCTGCAACTGGAATACAGATGGTTGTGAGCAGCTATGTGGGGTCTAGGAACTAAACCAAGGTCCTCTGGAAGAGCCTAACCACTGAGCCATCTATCCAGCTTCCTAAAATAAAAATTTCAGAATCTAAAAACAGGAAGATAATACAAGGTCATGCTTCAGTTTGGGAACTAGCTTTTGCCTCCTCCTAGACCTTCCTACCTATGTTCTCAGGCACTTATACCCACTCTTTATATGAGCTCCTTGGAGTGGGACAGTCTCAGAGGAGGTCAGGAAGGAGGCACAGTGACCTGGGTTCAGGAAGGTCATTCCACTCTAGGACTCTTGGGTGGTGTTGTCCTTGTGAGACAGATCTGCAAACTGAGGCTGATGTGGGGAAAGTAACCAGTTTAGAATTACAGAGGACCTCATGCTTCCCCTCAAAACCTCAGTCATGCCCTGGCCTCAGTGGTGGTCTTCCTGAGACTTCTGCAGTGTCTCTTTAATAGTTAGCTACACAAAGGTTCTAGGTGTCTGGAAGGAGAGGGCATATGATAAAGCTGACTGCTGGGATACAACTTGCCTAGGAGCCTTGTCACTAACCCCAGTCTGCTTCTCTGCCCTGCAAT